TATACACAGTCATGTAATGACGTCATCGAATTTCTCAGAAATATGTGTCCACACACATGCAATGAGTGAAGGAAAGGAATACTATGAATACAAACATAAATTTTGAACAGAAAAAGCACGAAAACTTGATGATTTCTATAATTATTACGTTTTAAAAGTAGAAAAAATGAACTTTGATCCTAATTTTATTGCACAAAATCCATGTTTCATTTACGTTTTTAACATTTTTTGCGTCGTGTACAATCACGAACTAACTATTATTTTTCACCAAAATCAAGGGTTTTTTCACGTTTTGGATGTTTTGAATGTGGCAGCAAATATTTCGAAAACTCACCTTTTATTTATATTACTTTGTTTGTGCACAAATAAGATTTCAATAAATTCAGTAGAAAACGCATGTCTCCTTCTAATATGGCCTCGTGCTTGTGAGCGTCCCCAATAACTGTGTGCGATAATGAATCAGCATAATTCACTGGCTCTGTGAAAAATGGCACACACAACTACAATTGTGTTTGTGATATAGCAAACCAAGATGAAGTTGGCCACACACACAATTGTGAGCGCAATGACTAATATTTGAATTGAAAAAGCTGTTAATATCCATGGACATTGGACAACAGTTTTTCTATGAATGCTGTTTCAAAAAATTTAGTACCTTTAATTCCTTTTCTGTGCAGTTAAAATAATAAAAACTTTAGAATTAACAGTTTTTTGGAAAGAATAATAATTGTTCCTTTTTACTTACCAAAAGTTCAACAAAGAGACAAATTCGTATGGTTTTTGAAAACAAACTCACTTCAACTTTTAACTGAATAAGAAAGTGTATTAAATAACAATTCTACCTGAAAATAATAATCCCACCCTTGACAGCATCACTGCGCAATTATGGCTATTAAGAAAGAAAGCTAATCTTAATTACATTAGAACTAATCAACGCAGACTAATTTACAGTTAATGGATTGCTAATTGAAAATACATGCAGAGAATTCTAAAGAAAATACGAAAAAATGTCAATTGTTTTGTGTGGTAATTAATGAAGGTTCATTAAGGAGTAGATCATTAGGAAAATTATGAAAATTATTGAGATATAGCTCATTTTCTCTCGGTGAAAACCATTCATTCGTCAGTTAAAACTAAACCAGTTAACATCGTTTGTACAATTGAGCACAAAATTTATTCTGTTGCCATTGTAATCGTGTGGAAGAAGATTCTTTCTTGATAAAGTGTAAAAAATTAGCATCAACAAAAATGGATTTTACCAGTATGACCTCGATTCCCGGACAATTTAACGAAGTAGAGGGCGCTTATGACGAAGAATTTGAATCAACCCCCAACTTAACGAATTTAAACGAATATTGTCTGGAGGCAATTTTCAAATATTTGAATATCAACGATTTAATCAATGTGGCCGATAGTGATGGGTGTTTCAAGCAGACCGTTGACTGGATATTCAAAAGAAACTACAGCAACAAGAAAGTCAATATCACCAACATCTATAAAATGATGGAAAATAGACAAGTAGATACTAGTCGCGATATTCGGATATTTGACGTGGTGACAACATTGAAATTTTTGCGTTGTTTTGGCAACTCAATTTCACATTTAAATATCTATTATCGCTCATTTAATGAAGGGATTAATAAATTGTTGGACGAGTATGTTAGTGAATATTGTGCCAATTCGGTGCATACAATTGAAGTTTTCGATGCTCCCACAATAGCAATGAAGCATTTTAAGAAACCACTTAACAAAGTCGAGCATCTTGAACTCACTAATTGCAATTTGAGCATTGACTTAAATCAATGCTTCCCACAAATGAACTCACTAAAGTTTATCGACAACTGTAACATCAGATATGGGCACTTTCCGAATTTGAAACATTTGACGGTCGAAAACGTCATAGATGACGAATATAGTGTGCAAAAGATTTGTAATTTAAATCGGCAATTGTATAGTTTTAATATATTTGGCGAAGCAGCGAACGAAGACTCATATTTCTTCTCATGCCGAAGTATGCCAAATCTGAAAGTTTTCAATGTTCGATCTGCAGATTATTTCACTGCTTCGTTCGATGTCGAGTTTCCTTTTCAATGTGTAAAAGAATTTTCTTTGGTGTTATCAATGTATGCATTCGTGCCAGATAAATTACCACTATCATTAGAGCAATTGGAGGTATTCACATTGGACAAAGACTACTTTGAAATCAAAGACCATTTTTTGGATTTCATCATTCAACATCGCAGAACTTTAAGAAAAGTTAAATTAGAAGGAAGGGAAAACTTATGGAAAGTTAAAGATAGATCCAAACTAAATACGGCGCTGGAACTATTGACGGAATTTGACCTGGGAAAATGCGTTTTACCAGCGGATAAGGCCATCAACGTTTCACGAGCATGCATATCGGCAAAAGTGTTTCAGTTTTCAATCAATGCTTCAATGCTTTACAGAATACAGAAGCAATTGGGCTCAATTTGGATCGTTAGAGATATAAAGGAGACTAGTTTCAATGAAATCATCAAAGTTGAAGCAACGCGCCGTTAAAATTAAATTAATAATAAATGCAAAATATACATTCATAACATCTTTTCAGTTAAGTTTATGAAAAACTGATTTAACGTAAGACTCAGTTAAGGTTAAGATCACTTTAGTTTTGGAATTTCATTTTTATACGAAAACTTATTAAGACTAGAAACTATTAACTTTCATATACTTGTTTACACATTATCAATAACAATAAAACGCACTTTTTGTACTTTCACCTGAACATTTTGAGCTATTCGTTTATTTTTGATACTTTGAGTAACGTACCTTGATCCTATTTCTAGGAAATCATTAGAATAACCCGTCAGCCGTCACACACGCGAAAGAAGGTCGACTGCAGAGGGCGATTTTTGAGTTTTACGTACGATGATGGTGACACCCTGACGTTTTTTGCTTTTGTATGGAGATAATCGCCATCCGGTTGACTGAGGCATCATTCTGTTCAAACTTTACAATGAAATGTTGTTTATTGTAATAAAAATGCTCTAACTCTGTAATGAAAAGAACATAGCTGCAAAGAATTCATTCATAGAAATTCTTGATCGTACAAATTACTATTTTCTCAAGAATGTGATCCAGAGATACTGTATATTTATAGCGTTAAGACCACAAAGGTTTCAGTTTTAAGCCCAACGATATTTAAATTGAATATTTCTTATAAAATCAAATGAAAACAGTGGAGTCGAATTTTGCAATAAAATTCAGTTTATTTATTCAACGTTTCAAATATTGAGTACATAATGTCCTTCAATCATTTTATTTCAGTTTTTGTAATTTATTATTTGTAATGATCATTCGGGGTTTCTCTAATTTAAATATTAAGTTCATTTGTAATTTTGTTTTTTACATGAAGAAAAAGTGTATGAGTTCTTTGAATGATGGTTTTGTGATTTTTGTTTTATGAATATATAGAGGAAATATGGCAAATTAATGTTGTTTAAATTCTTTCGATTTAAAATTCGGTTGGTCTGTCTTACGATGAACGGTCTTCGTGTGTTTTTTGATATCTGCTTGCATTAAGAAACGTGCACCGCATACTTCACATGGGTATGGTCTTTCCCCAGTATGATAGCTTCGCATGTGCCGCTTTAATTTCTGTGAATCTTGCTTTGCTTCTTTACACAAGTAGCAATGATTTAAGCGACGATTGCACTGTTCTTCGTGAGCTTTCTTGTCACCGTCTTGGGCAAATGGTCGATAGCATTTGGCACAACGCAACGGACGTTGTTTGGCATGTGTAGCCAAATGTTTCTTAAGATTGCCTTTTAGACAGAATTTCTTTTCACAAACACCACATCGGAATGGTTTCTGGCCCCAGTGTCTTCCTTGCACATCCCAATGCGCCGTTGTAATGCAATTTTATGCACCTAATACGCATCCAATGTAATGGTCCAATTGTACTAATATTATGCATATATTATGCATACAGTAGTATGCATACTGATCACACTATCTCTTTTTAATGGCGATTTGCGATGCATAGAATATGCATCTGTTCATATACATGCATACATTCGATGCATACGATATGCATCAGATGTAGGCATGCAGATTAGTGAAAATGGCTCATTGGGATGTTCTTTCAAATGACCTTTACCAAAACATTGATATGGACAGACATAGCATTCGTATCGTCGACATTTGCATCGATCCTCATGCAATTGTTTTTCATTTTCTTGAGCGAATCGTTGACAACATTTTAGGCAGGCAAACGGGAATTGTTTGACATGAGTCCTTGAATGCTTCTTTAGATCATATTTTCTTGCAAATGCTCTGGAGCAAACATGGCATGCGAATGGCTTAACGCAACTATGGATTCGCATGTGTTGCTTTAGATCTGACATGCGCTGAATGGCAGTTCCGCATAGGTAGCAAGCGTACTGGTGAACTGTGCAGTCATTTTCATGGTTGATCTTTTCTGTTTTTTTTGTAAATCCACGGCGACACTTTGAACAATTGAATGAGAATTTTGGACCATGGATTTTCTTGTGTCTAGTCAAATCGCTCTTCCGTGCAAAAGCCTTAGCACATTTTTCACATTCAAATGGCTTTTCGCCAGTGTGGGCTCGAATGTGATCTGTTAAATGAGATTTGTTTGATGAGGCATATTTGCACAAATGACATTTGTGTTTCTTCTGTGCACTTGCCATTTGTTTCTTCAATACTTTCCCTTTGCGATCTTTTTTTGAGCCGTTTTTCATCTTGCCATCATCCTTTTGTTTCCGATTTGTTCCTTTGCTGTTCAATTTTGGTCTTGGTCCGCTTCCGTTCCCACCAAATGATTCGTCCTTATCTGCTACGCCTTTTAAGCATCCAACTTGTGCCTCATCGTCTTTTTTGGTCAAACATTCATCTTCACACTTAATTTCCTTCTTCACCGAATCGATTTCGCTGTCACTTTCGCTCTCTGATTTGATTGAGGCGTTTGCTTCAACTGGCGATGGTGGTACCGGATAATGAAGCAATTCGCCACCATCCGAGGGTTCTTCTTTGACCACAACTTCTTGCTTGACAGTGATTTTTGTGGCTGATCGTTTGCACTTACATTTGCGCTTCATCTTTCCACAACAGGTTCCTTTGCTCTGATACGGATTCATTGTGACTGTAGCTATGGTAAATCAGACAAAAAGAGAACAATTTCATTAGTGCTACGCAACCAATGATGCCAAGCATGAAATGTCAAAATATACACAGTCATGTAATGACGTCATCGAATTTCTCAGAAATATGTG